GTCTTTTCTTGATTGGAGACCATAGTTTAAGAGTCAAGAATGGAAAAATATCAAAGATGAATAAATTCCTACATGAATAAATCCATGTAGGAATGGATTACTAATGGTCTTATGGGTGGTATAGACCTGAGTCCAAGTGTTTCAACTATGGAAGAAATTGGATTTTGGAAAAATAAAGAGTTCTACATGGAAAATATTGCCAAAAGATATTAGCTGATGAACAAGTAGAGAGAAATGTGTCTGAGCACATGAAAAGGTATGAAATAAAGCAGAAGCAGGCCAATCTTATCTAACAGTACCACCTTGAAAGAGAGTGAAAGAAAAAAGAAGAGTAATGTGGAAAACTTGGTCCTCGGCCAGTACAAACTAGGGCACAGGACGTGTGGTTGGATTGTTTGGCCTCTAGCTGTCTGTTTAGCTGTTACAGGAAGGCTTGTGTTGCTAGCTTAACAATTTTTTTTTCTAGTTACTCTGTATCTATAATGATTTGGCAGGGTGAAGGAGGCCTAGATAATCAACAAAGAACTGATACACAATGTTTCTTCGCTCACTTCTTAGAAGTCCTACCATTTCTGTAGGAATGGGAAGAGTTTAATATCATACTCAACAGTGAGAAAATTTTCTCCTGTAGTCTAGAGGCCAGCACAGAAAATAGCAATTCCTAGGAATGTTACTTATTTGTATGACAATATACATTAACAGCTAGGTAGACTCAAAGATGCATGTAATATCTAAGCTGCCTTTAAAATGGCTAGTACAAATCTCTCCATCCTTACCCAAATTTATTTTTGGATGAATTTAAGTTATGCATACAAAATTATTTCTGTGTGTGAAGCTGCGTCATAGTTCATGGCAATAAGCAGATCTATCTTCCACATGGTAGGTTCAAAAAGACATCCACCCTTAAAATCTCTTCGTTTTCTTGTATCATTTCATTAGCAATTGATTCATGGACAGTTTCCTTCTTGCAGAAGTGTCTCATGAACTGAAGACGTAACTAGAGAAGCCATAGCATGAGCTTCCCACACGAGGACCGGAATCATAAGGGTAAAGGCTGATACGGTGCTGAGCTCGGAGTCCTTGGAATCCCAGCGTCACATGTTCCAAAAGACTTCAGAAATCACTCCACATAAGGAAAGCCAGGCAATGGAACAGAGGGAAGCAAAGTCCTGGCTCTGCACTTAGAACACTATTACTGACTTTAAAGTTAATGATAATAACACCTTTTGCTCTCCAGAAGAAAACAATTACGCATATATGTTCTCTTTTTCCTCTCCTTCCCCCCCTCCCCACTCCCCTGCTCTGCCCTTCTCCCCATGGCTCCCTCCTCTCTTCTTCTCCCTTCCCTTCTCTGGACCTCTCTTCTCTTCTTTCTTCTCTTCTTCCACCCTTTCCTCTCTCTCCCCTTTCCTTTTATCCCTCTCTCCTTCTTCTATTTGTTTTTTAATTTTCTTTTCATTTATACTCTCTGTCTTTTGCATCATGAATCTGTATCCCCTTCATTTCCCTCTTCCTTCATATCCACCCTCTGTCCTTGCAACCTCCCCTCCCCCCCAAAAAAAAAATAAAATTTAAGAGAAAAAAATAGAAAAAATCGACCTTGTCATGGAGGCTGTAGCATGCTAAAGTGAGTCACCCAGGAAAGCCTTTTATCCATATAACTTTACTTGTAAGTTTTCATTGCAAAGAGTCATTGGTGTGGTTCAAGGCCTTTGGCTTTTGCTACACTATTGATGCTGGGTCCTTCTCCGATTTATGATTTTATGCTCATGGCATATGCTCTCTCTGAGATACTCCTAATGTTAAGTTATTATAGAAATACACTTAAGTGAAACAATAAAAGTAATATTGTACATAACCTCAGGATAGTGATTTTTGCTCTAGTATATATTTAAAACATTTTGATCAAAAGTTTTTATTTTCTGTTAACTGTTAGTATTCCAGTATTTTAGGAAATAATGCAGTTCATTTGTGAAATGAATAGACTTTTTAATAAGTAATTTTTTCCAAGTATATTAATTTGTAGCTTAAGAAATAAATGTCACCGGGAGGTGGTCGTACACACCTTTAATCCCAGCACTCGGGAGGCAGAGGCAGGTGGATCTTTGTGAGTTTGAGGCCAGCCTGGTATACAGAGCGAGATCCAGGAAAAGCACAAAACTGCACAGAGAAACCCTGTCTCAACACCCCCCCCCAAAAAAACCAAGAAATAAATGTCTACTTCCCAGAATGAATTGATTAAAATGTTTACCTTTTAGAAGATCTTTATGTGTGGTTTTAATTTTGCATGATCATAGTAAAACAACTATATAGAGAAAACAAAATTTATATATTTTGTACATATATTTTATATATATATATAAACTCAGTTTTTTCTTTCATACCAAATAATATTTATACAGTGTGTATTTTCAATAGAAAAGCTACAAATGATTGTGGGAATGGAAACCTTCAGTCATGGTGCTATTGTTCACTTGAGAAAGAGGAGCTTTTCCTCTGCTTACTCCTGACTTAGTAGTGCTTGCTGGTTTCCTACTGCTGTTTTGAAAAATTACTACAAGTTTAATATTAAAAGACAAGACAAATGCATTATTTTGCATTTCTGTAAATCAGAAGTGCAAAGTCTGTCTTAGGGGTCTAAAATCAAAGTATTGGGAAAGCTATCTTCTTTAGTGAAAATTCTAGAGGAGATTACATGTCCTTGTCTTCCAGATTCTAGAGCCAACTAATTTCTTTGGCTCATAGACCCACCATCAAAGCCAGGAGCACCAGGCTAAGTATCTTCTACAGTTCCATCTCTGCTATTTGGATTTCCCCTTCATTTGTAAGGAAACTTTTGATTACACCAAGGCCACCTGTCCTATCTAGACTAATCTTATCTTAAGATCAGGTGATTAATGGCATCAATGTTCCTTTTACTATGTAACCTACTCTGATTCATAGGTTTGGAGATTAAAGACAAAGAATTCTTTAGGAGCCATTATACCACATCATACCACGGAGCTCAGGGACTTTAGAAAAGCTGTTATTGCTACTGGCTCCATGGCAAGTTAATTTGAATCAGTGTGTGTCTCCTGAGCACTTCCTGCTATAATGTGTTTGATGAGTGTGCCCAATGCAGCTTTCCCTAAGACACAGAGTGGCTTCCACATGTTTCTCCTAGCTTCCCCTCAGGCAAGGATGATGAGGAGCTAAATCTGTGGTGAGTGATATTAATGTATTTACTACTAATTATGGGTTTTGGCTTGTTCACATCAATGAACAGGTAAAGACAAATTTGATCAAACAAAACAATATGTCCCACTATTTTAAGTGCAGTGAAGTAAGTTTACTCTTTGTACTGTGTGGAAGACTGGATGAATTGCTTCTTGTTGTTTTTTACATGGGGCCATGTTCTACACATAGCTAACGGACTCAGAGTGTATGCTTCTTGCCCCTCTGTCCTCCCTCCCAAGTACTGTCCCATTCTTCTGCTTTCATGTCAGCTTTACGTGTATGATTTTGTGTGTCTACAAGCCTCGACCCAGGAATTCTAGACTGTGATACTTGACTAACTGGGACTGACTTAATTGCTTCATATGATTGTTTCTAGTTGCATTCATTTTCAAGAGTATGTAACAATTTCTTTCCCCATGCCTGAAAACCCTTTCATTGTGTATGGAGATCACCTTCTATGCAGGAAACCATGGGACTGAGATCAGCCATCAGCCATGCCAGCTGCCCAGCAGGTGCTTCTGCTCTTCAGCATCCCCATTGCTTATGCACTTGGAAGTAAACACTAACACCACCACGGCATGTGGATCTAGAGCCCTTAGTCTGCACCAAGACCTCCTTTACCCTCCTTTCACTCTCTGTAGTTATCTGTAGCCTTCCTAACACAGCCTATATACAAAGATAATAACAATAATAATAATTCACATTTTTTAAGATTACAACTCCTACAACTTAGCATGACCAGATTTTCAGCTTTCATAATGTGTAAATACACTGTGATTTAAATAAACACTAAATATGATCTAATTAACCACCAGAGATCATTGAAAAACTACAGAAAATTACTAGACTTTCTTCTGTACATACTTAGTGTGTAAATGTTATCACTACTAAAAATTGAACAATAACTGGCACCTCCCAAACAACTACATGTATTTTTAATTATTTATTTGCCATGCCTTTATAATTGTGATTTGGAATCAAAGTCAGGGTTTTTTTTTTTTTTTTTTAATGTGGGAATGTCTAATATATATCAGAAATTTAAGATTATTCTCGCTCTCTGAAGACTTTTATCATTGTTATCATTTCCTTTTAGGGAAATTGAAATGCTAAGTATATGATTAAATTGGCCTGGGGCTTATAGGGAGATGATAAAGCCTGTAAGTGTCACACTTCCATGCTAAGTGGTTAAGACTGACAGTTCCTTGTGCCCTGGCTACTCCATGCTATATTAGCCATAACAGGAAAGATCTGTGGTGACATGTAACCCTTTTTAACACTTGCCTCAGGATATTACCCACTGTGAAAAGGCTTTTTAAACTCTTGTTCATTTCATACTGAAATAATCTACTTTATTCATGTCCTCAAGCTCATGTTTGTATAGCAGTGGTTGTTTTAATAACATTCCAAGGTTCAAAAATGGAGAGTTGTGGTAGCAGTCACTTTGATGTAAAGAAAAGAAAATGGGGGAAAAACAACAGAAAAAAGAAAATTTCAAGGTTAAATCTCTAAACATTTTGATTACTGCCTCTCTCTGAGAATATTACTTAATCTCTGGGACCTCTACTAAACTTCCTGGTCACTACTATGAAGTAGTGATCATTTTAATTGTTGATACACCTGAATGAGGTACACCTGAATGATATATTGTTAGCTGTGCACAACTGTGTATGTTTTAGTCAGGCTTCTCTCCTAACTCAGTTTTCTTGTATTCTATAGATTATTCTTCAGTGTTTGAATTTGAAATATTAATGTCTCATCATGTGCCAAAGGTGTGTGTAGTGAGGTGTGTCTTTGTGTGTGTGTTAATCCTGGGTCACTCTATTAGTGTGCTTTTTCATCCTGTGCAACTTGGGAGTCATTTATTAGCACCATCTTCTAAATCACTTTTTTTTTTTTTTACAACATACCCTTAACACTATCATCTGATATTCTTGCCAAGGACTAAATCTCCAGACCCGAGATGGAGAGTTTGAAGGAAGTGCCAAGTATTCTGTCCTCTTGCAGGCGTCTGTCTCGCCATTCACAACCTGACATTAATCTGCTTCCCACTGGCTCTGGGCTCTTACTTGCTTCTCCAGGGCAATTTTTATGACCCTACATTTTTCTGACCTCATACCTCTGATGTAAACATTACTCTCTATTTTATTCCTAATTCTTTGGAGATAAAAATCTCTCCAGTCATTTATCTTTACCTCATGGAGACTTTAGGTTTCTGGCTACCCCCATCACATTTCTAATACACCGAGTCACCCCTTCTTTCCTAGAAAGCCTGCTGTTGACCTTCTTTACTAACTTTGATTACTTACTTTCTGTTCAGTATTTTGTCCCATGCATTTTGTGATGGGCTGTAATTTATTAAAACCTCATTACCAAATTCTACTTATGAAAATAACATCCTAAAATATATTTTAATAAGTAGTTAAAAATGTTTGAATAAATTATGTTTTCTCAGAGATACCCTGAGAAAGATAGATGGATGGACAGTGCTCCTGATTCTCTCCTTTTCATAGTGTGCAAAACATTCAGGAGGAGAAAAGCCCAGCTGTAAAATCAAGGTTTCCAGACCAGGCTATTTCTATTTATAGCACTGAAAATGGGACATGATACTAGCTATTTCAGAAAAGCCATTCCAAGGTGAATAATTTATGTGGGAAAAACTTTAAAGGCTTAATTATGTAAATATTATTCAAGTACTAAGTTTTACAATAGCACATTTTTATTTACTCTTCATGGTTTACATTGGCAATAGAATTTCAAAAGTTTGATATTAAAAACATCCAAGCTTAGAACAAAGACTTTCATGTAAATTCTATATTGAAGGTATAGCTGCAAGCCCAAAGTTGTAGGTTCTTGTCTCTATATATTTTAAAATATAATTTATAACATACTGTTCTTAAAAGAAATCTGTTTGCGTTTTAGAGTTTTTTTTGAGAGTTTTTTGTTTAATCATTTTTGTGGTCATAGTTATTAGTATTTTTTAAATCAATGTGTGTGTGTGTGTGTGTGTGTGTGTGTGTGTGTGTGTGTGTGTGTGTGGTGGGCGTGTTTATTGAGGGATGATGTCAGCTTTTACTCCTTGTCATCCACTTTGAGATGGCAACTTCTTTTGTTGTCACTGTTACATGCACAAGGCTACCTGGCCGTCAGGCTTTAAGGGATTCTCTTGTCTCTCCTCCAGTCTTGCTGGAGAAGCCCCGAGATTACAGATGATCATGGCTACATCCTGTCTTATGTGGGTTCTGAGAATTTGAACTCAGGGCATCATTCTTGTGTGACAAGGACCTTACCAAGTGAGCATCTCCCCAGCTTTGTTAGTAGTTTTTGATAGAATTTCTTGCAAATGCCCAAACTGCATTTTAGCAAAAGAATTTGCCCTTAAAACTAAGGAAAAATTTCATAAAATATAAAAAAAAATAGCAGTCCAGCAGTCCTTATCGACACTTACTCCTTTGAGAGAAGAAAACTGAGACCAGAGATGTGAAGTTGCCATTCCCACCAACACAGAAGCCTCAATGAACAAGTTCATGAGGTCCTAGGGAATGGAATTTTCAGCAGTAACTCTTGCTTGTAGATCATATCATTGGGGGTGTAAAAACCCATTGGAAGCCACAAATACAAATGTTTAAAGTTGAGACTTGGGGTGGATTGATTATAGATGAAGAAATATTACAGATTCCAGTAGTGTTTGGACCACCAGCTGATCTAGAAGCATGGCCATATGGAGTGTTTATTAATGTAGCATTGAGATTCAATGGGTTTGTCTTTACTAACCAGTTGTCAGTTCGAGTTGACATGCGTATGATATCAGGTCTAGGCATACAAATAAGAACTTCACTATGATTCAATTTTGTTTTGTACTATAGTTACATTTTTAAATGCACAAAAATTATTATGGTTGTCTTTTTACTATTGCTTTATAGCATATAAGTGATACGTAGTTATTTTTCCATTTTTATGACCCATTTTTTAAGCCAAGAAGTTATTTGGTGCATTGTGCCATAAGGAAGGGCATCATGGAAAATTAGAGGAACATACACATTTCAGAAAGTTTATTTTAACATTTGGTTCTTTGTTTTTTCTATCCCCTGCCTCTGCACATCAGTCCTAGCTTTTAAGGGTTTTCTCATCAAATTAAATGACTAATTTAATTTTTAACTGTATTTTGAACCATAAGTTATAGAAAAGGCTGGGTAATTTTGATTTTTGTTTTCTTCACAGATATTCACCAAGTTATACAAATATAGACTGATATTTTCTCAATAAGGACAGATGAATTCAAGGACAAACATATGAGATCTTACTTAAAGCAGAAAATGCCAACCATGGAAGAAGGAGAGCTGATTATCATGCCTTTGACAGGAACAGTAGCTATGAATCACAGAACCTATTAACTTGAACTCTCACAACCTCTTTGTCAACCTCCCAGGCTATGAAGAAATCCTCTTCTAACATGGCTTGCACTTAGCAATGCTCTCAGTCCCTGTTCTGTTACTGCTGCTGCTGAAGACCAAGCAAACACTGGTCCTGTCTTGGTGACTCTAATTGTCCTAATGTACAAGTGAAGAAGGAACCGCTTTCTTGTAATTTGCCATTTTGTGGATTGAGTTCAATGTTTTATTGAAATCATTTTGAAAGTAGCACCTATGCCCCATTGTAGACCTTCACACTTTAAACATAATGTCTTTATAGTGGGTAAAGTGGCTCAGTGGATAACATGCTTGCTGTCTAAGTATGAGAGCTGGAGTTTAGAATGCTGGCACTTATGTAAACACCCACACAGGTGTAGGAGCCACCTGTGTTCTCAGCAGTCAGAGGTGGAAACGGATTCATTCTCAGACAAGCCTACTGGCAAGACTGAGAATGAGCAAGTTCTGGCTTAAGAAGGAGACCCTGGCATAATTCATAAAGTATAGAATGATCTAGAAGACATCCTATATCAACCATCAGCCTCAGTGTGTATATACACATCAACACAGGTGTGAGAATGTGCATAAACACACACTTGCATGCACACCACAAACATAAGTAAAATGTTTCATATTGCACATGTCTTATCTGCTACACAATCTTGCTCTCCTCTATTCTCGGCATACTCTCTTCTTTGTAAACTGTCCTTCCTTATTCAAAAGTGCTAACAAATATAGATGAACTTCAGCTGTAAAATAAATATTATCTAGAAATAAACTGCTCTTTAATAGAGATTTTACAGATCATTTATAAGACCCTATGATGTTGGAGTTCTTCATTATCCTTTCATGGGACTGCTTGCGTAGGACAGAAAATGTGTAGCTGCATAGAAACAGGGCGGGATCTTCTGAGTTGTTCTCAAATGTCATCAGTTGCAAAGGGCTCTATTTCTTTCAGTTATGATTACGAGGAGACTATTGCTCCACAGTGGAGGCCCCCTAGAGGGTAATGATAAGTGTTTCTTATCAGTACAAAGGCTGTTGTAGGCTGCCAAACATATTGGAACAGTAAACCATCGAGGAAGAGACATTTTCTTTGATAAATCACTTAAGTGATTTATCTAAACTTCAGACTTCAGTGTCTGAAATTACTACTGATATTGAATCTGTTTTTTTTTTTCTTTAAATTTGTTTCAAGTCCCACGGAGCTCATTTAAGTTCAGGGTACCCATTGACCTACAGGCTTAGGTACAGTGGTGATCTCAGTACAGGTGTAAGACTGTGGAGAGTGGAGGAAAACATGGAACAAGCCACAGTGCAAACAAAGACATTGGGCTAGAAATTGAGACTTTTGTACCAAGGTGGTTTTGATAAGGATTACTGCTTTTGTTTTGTTTGCTTTTGTTTTTGTTTTGTTTTGTTTAGTATTTATTAACCATGGAATCATGAAATCCGGCCACTACTGTCTGAAAGCTCTGAAGCTCTGTTCTTTTTTAAAATTTTGTTTTGTTTGTTTCATAATTAATATTCTTATTTGTATTTTTTTTAGTATTTCTCTTTTTAGTTTTCCTTCGAAAGAGATGCTACAAGGGTGAAGGGCAGATACAGAGATAATAGGAAATGAGTGAGATTGGGGTGCATGATGTGAAATTTTCAAAGAATCAGTTAAAAAAAATGTTATGTTAAAAAAATAAAGTCCTGGGTGGGGTTGTTAAATTCTCATATGCTGAGGTTAAAAAATGGAGTTTACTGCTATTTGGGTAAAAAGACACTTGATGTAGATGAATCCTATTGCCTTTTCTCCTGCCTTGACCCCTCACCTTCACATTGCCTGGGCATAGGAGCCAGTAGATACTATAAGTCTAAATAGTTAAAGCTCCAAGTCAGTTATACATGATCTGATTACATAAGATTTGGCTCCTGTCTTACCAAGCACCTATTTACACTGAGTAGGATGGCCAGGGGAAATGTAGGATTTGTGAAACCTTAGGTTTGCTTCTGAGGGTAACTAGACCCCCACTCTTCACCCATAGCCTATTCTTTTTCTTCTCTTAGCTTTACAGCATTCCGTGCATGAAGAGACTTCCATGCACTTTGTGTGCATGTCTTGCTGCATAACAAATCTCCAGAAATAACTGAACCCCTGCAAAAAAAAAAATGTTCCTGTTAGTCTTTCTTGGCCTGGGGGCATGCTTATGAGCACTGTGATTCCTCATAGGAGGATGCACTTTAAAAATCACCTTGGAAATAATATCAGGGCTATTTGATCCAGCATTTGGGAGAGCCAGCACCCAGAAAATAGTATAGAGAGAGGAAGATGGACTTTAGATAAGGTTCCTCATAGAACCTTAACTCTTTGAGGGGGTTGGGAAAGAGGAAGAACAGTGGTGAATTTAGGGTAAGAGCCCATATCTTAGTCAGGTGTTATGAGATTCTTTCTAATACGTTTTCCCCAGAATATGAAATTGTTCCTAGGAATTGTATAAATATGTGTGATGAAGACAATAGATGGCATTATGGTTTCTGAAAAGGAAAATGTATTATTCATAGAACTAAAAGAGAATATTAAGAGACAAGATTAATGGAAAAGTCTTCAAAAGCCTCAAACAAATGATACCCAATTGAGGCTATGGATATACCAATGACTATGATTTGATCATTATTTAATGTACACATGTACTGCAATATCACATTCTACCCACAAATATATACAACCACTAGATTTCAATTAGACATAAAAATTAATCTTTTAAAAGCATATGGATAGAGATGGAACAAGCCTGTTCTTTCTTGTTCTTCCTGAGCAACATTTCCTGTTAATGAAGAGAAACGTGGCCATACGAAAACCTAACATTGAAAAAACCAATAACGAAGCTCAGAATTGCCATGTCCTTGTCAGGCAACATTATTCTGGTAGCTCAGGTCATAGGACAAGGCTGTGAGGCTGGCTGAAAGCAGGTGGCTATAATTAATTCTTCTGGTAAATATTAACATTGTCATCTCTCTGAGCAGGAGGGTTAAGGAGAGCGTTTCTCCATTCTTTCATTGGCCCTTAAAAATGGCTCTGGCATCCTGTTACCAGATGCCAGCAGATGCCAGTGTGCTGCAGGGTTCCAGTATCGTTGCTGTGGGTGTCCTCAGTAGGAGTTGGTAGTGTATGGCACCAGTGCCCTACTGCTGCTCCTGTTTTACAGAATGCAATCATCTCTGTCACCTTCAACATGGACCTATCAGACTGACATGGGATGCTTTCATATTTGAAAATAAATTCTCTTTAAAGTCTTAATAGTAAATTTAAAAATTGGCTCGATTAAGCGTAAGATGATGGCTCTGTGTGCCTGGGAAGCAGAAAGCAAGTGTAGATTCTAAATTTTCAGTTTTGGCAAGCAGAGTGCTGAATGTGGCAGAGTTTCAAAATGTTTATTGGAAATAAAATATGAACTGAACTGAAAACTGTCCTTTCTGGAAAGCATTGATAAGAATTTGACTTTGGTTGTGTTTTTGCACCTAAAATATGTATTTGTACACTTCCTCTATAAACTGTTTTTAATTGTAGTTAAAGAATTACTGTTCAACTAGTGAGTTTTAAACAAAAGGAAAGTTTAAAGGTGGTGCCTTAAGTTGTCAACATTCCTGCTGTGTTTCCATACCATCTCTGAGAGTATTAATAAAATTAGAAAAGTATCACTTGCATGTATTTGTTAAATGTTCATAAAACAGGCCCAGAATCACCTTTTCCTTCTCTTGTTTTGAGATAGACTATCACTATGTAGCTCAGGCTGGCCTCATCCATCCTCCTGCCTCAACCTTCTTGCTGAGATTTCAAGCATGTTCCACCAATCCAAACTAAACAAACCTATAAATAAAACCTACATGAAACCATCCTCTATGGAAGTCCCAGGAGTTCCAGGGTTTAGCTACGTCCAGCATGGGATATCTGAGGGGAAAAAAAATCCATGTACACTATGTTCTTATGTCTGTTAAATTTATTCCCCTAGGACAAAATTCTATCAATTCTGCTAAAGCTCTGTCAGACACTCAAGGCAGGAATAACTCTAGACATACCAAGCTCTCTATCCGTCTACTTTATTTCTCTGGGATGAAATCCTGTCTCCATAACTACAGTTCCATCTAGCTCCCTAACTCATAGTACTGCTAACGACTAAACTATCTTTCAACCTCACCTTCGTCCTCTGTATCCTCTTTCTCCATCTCTGCTACTCTCTACTCGTGGCACTCAGAAAACTCTACCCAAAATCTGCTTGCCCTCTATGGAACCTCTGTCATCCTCTTCTCTCTCTCACCTTGCCATTCTGTTTCTACAGAAAAATTCCTGTCCTTTCTTTCCCTGGGCAGTGGTTCTCAGGAATGTTGTTCTACCTTCCACCTTGATATGTAAAAACCCCTTTTGTTCCTAGTCAATTGCTCTGGAGAGCAGCTAGGCCTCAAGGTGAGGAGATGGTCTGAGCTTCATTTGCACAAGAAGCAAACCAATGTCTGCAGCCAGCTTGTCTCCTAGGCTCCCTAGAGGGGGAGGAGGGGGAATAGTAACTCAGAAGTTCAGCAGGTCTGGAAATATTTGGCCACACAGGAATTTCATAGTAGAAGATAGCTGGAATATTAAAGGCTGGATAACACCAACTATTCATAATAAATGGCTTGCCTTTTGACAGACCCTTGTCCAGCTAAAATATAGCTTTAATACATAAATGTGATAGAGCAATCTTCAGTCAATGAGTAACATTGTATGACACTGAGGTCACTTCACCCTATCTAGGCTTCCATTTCCTCATTTATAAATGTGGAAAACAATATTGTCTCATTGGTTTGGCATGAGCATTTTATCAGATATGTGATATATATATATGTGTGTGTGTGTGTGTGTGTGTATGTGTTCGTACATATCTATGTTTATACACACACACACACACACACACACACACACACACACACACACACACTGCACAATGACTTTAGAAACACACAGCTAGGAACTGAAAGTCCCCTGCTTCTGATCCTAAGTTTTCATTGGCAAACATGGGAAAGTTGAGCAGATGATGTCACTTTTTTTCTGGTATTTCTGTAATCTTGTTTTCATTTTTAAAATGGGGAGGATGCTAAAAAAATATTCATGAGTTCATAGTTGGTAATTTAGTTATCAGTTATTTCATTAAAACAGTATTAGAATTCAAAGACAGTGTTTGGAACGTAGAAGGAATTTAGAGAGCACAGATCCAGAGTGTCTCCCAAGACCATGTGTGTGCTAGTCTTAGCCCTCTTAGGACGTCAGCCATTTGTTGTTTTTTGGGCTTTCCTGCTTACATGATACCCTATCATTTGCATCATGCCATGATGTATGACCTCAGAAACAGCCCAGAGGCAATGGTACCAGCCACCTGCACACTCGACTGTCTGTAACTGTGTGCTAACATAAAATTTTACTCCTTTGGATTGGCTCAAGTATTTTGTTATAATAACAGAAATCAGAATAACACTAGTGATATACTTAACACAGTGTTGTTCAGGGATAGCAAAAGTTGCTTAGAATTTTATAAAATACTATGTTAGATTTCACTTGGATCTTGATGATCATAATATTTGAATCCATGAGTATTGAATTTTTCATTAATCTAATTTTTTTCTTGTAATAACTAAGTCCATTCTTTTCAGGGGGTGGGGGAACTTGGTAAAGCTGAGACATACCTCAATTGGATAAAGCTAAGTCATTTAAAAAGATTGTGTCCTAATAGGGAATACTGTTCACTATTCCTTTCCTCATTTCTTAACTCTTTTGTTTTTTTTTTTTTTTTTTTT